GCCCCACAGCACTGGCCCCACAGCACTGGCCCCACAGCACTGGCCCCCCAGCGCTGGGCCCCGTTAGGCAGAGCTTGGGGCTACTGTGATGAGGAACATGGCCTGTGCCACCAGTTGCAGCTGCGCTGTGCGTGGGGTCAGAGGACATGGATGACCACTTCCACAGAGACGGCCATGTGCTGTGCTTACACAGAGGGGGGGCAGCTTTGGGACGGCTCTCACCGGTCAGGGCACCTCACAGTGGAAGAACTCCCACCCATCAGGTGCCCTTTGGCCACAGGGACAGCTGTGCTCCCCGGCAGTCTGGGGAGCCCCCCCCCACCCAGGCTAAATAAAAGCCTCTTGTGTCCAGCACCTAATCTGGGTCCAGACCAAAAATAAGTCACTTCTAAACTGGGTCATGGTAAAAGGTTTTTATGCAAATCTGTTCATAATGAGCAAAGCCCAGAGGGAGGCGCCCCCGTCTGGTGGGGGGGGCGGAGGCTGCGGCCGTCAGCCGGGCGGGTGTTGACGTGTGTGTGTGTGTGTGTGTGTGTGTTCTGTAGGAGTACAAGCCCCCAGCTACACGACGTCTTCACGAGATCCTGGGAGTAGAGACCGGAGGCCCCGGGGGCCGGAGGGCAGGGGAGCCGGGGCACGCCCCCTGTGACTACCTGAAGTTCAAAGGTAGGTCAGCCGGGGGTGGGCGGAGCCTGTGGACTGGTGCAGCAGGGTCACTCACAGGTCAGCATGCTGGCCGGGCCTCTGCCAGGGCTCCTGACCGCCCCCCACCCCCTGCAGCCCGATGGAGCCTCACGGCCCCTGTTCCTCTCTTCCAGACCTGATCCTGCGCATGCTGGACTATGACCCCAAGAGCCGAATCACGCCATTCTATGCCCTGCAGCACAACTTCTTCAAGAAGACGACAGATGAAGGAACCAACACCAGTTCATCTACATCCACCTCTCCTGCCATGGACCACTCCCATTCAACCTCCACAACTAGCTCTGTTTCTAGCTCTGGTAAAGCTCCGCCCACCCCCCCGCTGCCCCTCCACCTGGGTGGAGATGTTGGGTCTGGAAATAGCTGTGAGAATCCAGGACAGGGGGGGCGGGGGCCTGCGGGTGACGCTGCTCTTCTGTGTTTCTCTGCAGGTGGCTCCAGTGGTTCTTCCAACGACAACCGTAACTACCGTTACAGTAACCGCTACTACAACTCTGCTGTCACCCACTCAGACTATGAGATGACCAGTCCTCAGGTAGGCCCATCAGCCCCTCATTAGTCCTGCTGTCCAGGAGAGGCAGCAGCTCCCCCCTCTGCCTGAAGGAGGCTTCCCCCCTCCAACCACTGACCGCTCTCACCCGTCAGCGGGGGCTGTCTGTCGCCATGGCAGCCTGCTGCCCGCTGTCCGGGCGGGGGGGGGCTGTCCGGTCTGACGGTGTGCTGTTGTCCTGCAGGCTCCCTCCCAGCAGCAGATGAGGATGTGGCCCGGCAGTGATGGTGGAGGTGGGGGTCAGGACCCAGCATACACCCAGTTGCTGCTCCATAAGCCAGCTGCCACCCAACAACACCAGCGCCACTTTTTGGACCCACCCCACCACCCCCACCCCACCTACTCTCACCACGGGAACGGTGGGCGTGGCCTGAGGCAGGGCGGACAGACGGGCGTGGGTGGAGGCGGGGGTCAGCAGGGATCCTCGCCCCAGATGAGTGACAGCATGGATGTGGGCGTGTCCCTCGGGCTGCACCACCTGGGGGCGGTGTCTTCCATGGAGGCCTCTCAGTTCGGCTCTGCGTCTCTGCCCCTGGCTCTGCCAATAGGACTGTCTGCCTTCCGGACTCGGACGGCCCCCACCGCACCAGGGCCTCAAGCCCCGCCCCCTGAGGACTACTACCCTGCCTCCAACAACAATAACCCTGCTGCGGGGGGCAGAGGGAGGCCAGACTCTGACGAGGGGCCAGCCAACTCTTGATAAAACCTGAACCATGCCCTAAAGCCATACGATTTTAACTACGACTACAGTGAACCACATACAGCCAGAGTTCAGAGACTAGGAGGGATTTTGTGCTGGAGGAGACGGTTTGTTCTGCATGAGAGGAGGAGGAAGAAGGAGGAGGATACTGGGAAACTTTCCTTTTCTCCTGTTTTAGTTTGTGCTTGTTGTTGCAACTGTAATTGGAAAGGAGTGATTGACAAGTTTGTTTCATTAATATTGTTGATTAATATTGTTTGATTTTTCTCGGGTTTGAGGAGTTGCGTGTTCTGTTTGTTGTTTACGTGTGGAGGGGAAGAGGAGGCTGAAGAGACATGTGTTGGTTGAACACGCTGTGGCCGTATGTGGAGGCCGAGCACACACAGGTGCTGGCCGGTAGTGAGGTCATACCTCTCCATCCCCTGGAGGCCGGCGCTCACGCACACACAGCACACGCTTCCCTCCCAGAGACGTGTGTGTCTGCTGCCAGCCCCCGACTGAGCACAGGTGCATCATGTAGTGTGAGTGAGTGAGTGAGTGAGTGTGTGTGTGTGAGGTGAGTGAGTGTGAGTGTGACTGTGTGTGCGTGCGTGCGTGCGTGCGTGCGCGCTGCGTCAGGACAGAAGCGGCTGGACAGCGAGGGAACGCCCACACACCTGATGGAGGACTCTGTGTGGACGCTGACCCCTGTGGCTCTGCTGGGCCGGACTGAGGGCAGGAGGAGGTGACAGGACAGTGATGATGATGACGATGATGATGATGATGCCTTGCTGACATTCAAATGGATCTCCTCCTCTTCCTCGCTCTTCCCCTCTCCACGCTCTCTTCTTTTTCTCCTTCTTCTCCTGTTGAGTTTCTCCTCCAGACAGCTCCTCCTCTCTGTGCTGCTAATCACCACGACAACTGGTCCGGATTGCTGCTAAAGATCCAACACAGATCAATAAAGAATAAAAACAAATAGAAACAGAAATGAAAAACTTTTTAACCCTTGTGCTTAAGAGAAAAGGATAAAGTAAGAACCACTGCATCTCAATGTATTTATTACTATTTAACAAGAAAAACAAACTGAAAGTAACATTTTTTTTCTGCTCTTCTTTGTTTGGTTGCCTTCTTTCTGCAGGTGAGCTCTGATTGGCTATTGTAACAGTGACAGTAACTGGTGACATGGGAATGCCACTGGTTGTGGGGGCTGGGTGGAGGGGAAGGGTTGGGGCAAAATAAAGTTGGATATATAATAAGAATAAAGAGTATACTTTTGCACACCAAAGTCAAACAAAGGTCATTCTCTGCCTTTCTTCCTACTATGTACTATGGTCCAGAACTTTACCAGAACCCTCTACCTCCACCAGACCTCCTCCTGAGGGACCAAACCCTCTACCTTTACCAGACCTCCTCCTGAGGGACCAAACCCTCTACCTCTACCAGACCTCCTCCTGAGGGACCAAACCCTCTACCTCTACCAGGCCTCCTGCTGGGGGACCAAACTCTCTACCTTAACCAGACCTCCTCCTGAGGGACCGAGTCCTCTACCTT